TTTTTTTTTTGTTTTGTTTTTTTTACTATATTTATGTGTAGTGAAATATGTTAACACTGGAAGATCTACATAACCCAGTGAATAAATGTTTTCCAAAATGATGCAGTGCAAGATAGACCAACAGATTTTAATGTAGAGGTACCAAAAAAAAAAAAATCTATTGATAAGGTTTCAGATTTTATACTGCAGCTAACCATTAAGAAACTACCAGTATGATGTATATTAGAGTATCTAAACTTATTAATATACTTCTCTTTTTTCCATCTACACATCTTTGTGAAGCCAAATATTCTTTATATATGTCAACCAAAACAATATATTATTATAGACTGAATGTATGGGAGTATAGCTGTCTGTTATTAAGCTAGACATTAAAGGGATTTGCAAAACAACACGACTCTTCTAATTTTTTAATTGAAAATAGTTAATTATTCACAGTAAATGTTATTTATGTTAACACATAAATAATGGGTTTATTATTATTCCTTTTAGCTATGAATAAGTTGCCTGAAAAGCTGAATATATCTTAATAGTCTCCTGTGGAAAGTGCACTGTTTGCTTACAGTTCCTATATGATGATGTTTTGAATTTTATGTACTCTAATCAGAGCAGGTTTAACTATCTCTGGGAGTTTAAATGACAGAACTGAGAAGATCTCAGCTGAAAGCAAGATCATTTCCCTGTGAGCCATGCTATTAATCTTCATCAAGATACAATTTCCCACTAAATTTATGAGCGGAACATGGAGTTGATGAACGTTAATAAAAGGGAGAAATCTGGGGCAAACTTTACTTGCATTTTTATCTTGTTGCTTACCCACCCTTAGGAAGATAACAATAACTACCATTTATCAAGTGGTAACTATGTGCCAGGCCCTGTTCATTCTCAGTATTTTACATACATTAAGTCATTTGACAGTAAACTGACAACAATCTTATGAAGTACTATTATCACCATTTTATAGATAAGGAAATGGAGGCACAAGGAGGTTACCACTTAGCTAAATTAACAACTAATAAGTAGCAGGAAGATATTCTAGGCTGGGTAGAAAATATTAATTTTTTTTCATTTAAGCCCTCGGAGTAGATGCTTCCAAGCACCTGGCTGGATTGATGACATCATGGGGTAGGGAAGAGTGAAATAAATTGAAAGGTTTTTCAACTATCTAAGGATCTTTTAAAATTCTTCCAATCTTATTAAACAAAGAAGTTTCTTTTCTATATGCCTAGAAAGGGCTACATTTAATTTAAAAATGATTTTATCAACATATAAGTCACCCAACCTAGAACCTGTTTTACTGCTGCTTGATTTGACAAGAACTACTGGCAGGCTGATGGAAGGGGAATCCTAGGTAGGTTGATAAAGTACCACAGAAAATAATAATTAGATCTTTCAAATTTAAATCTTACCATAAACTTCCCATGGCTAGTCTGATGAGTATGGGAGATGGTTCCTGTGACAGAAGTGTGGCGAAGGAGGTAAAGGAAGTTCAAAAAAATTCAAGTAAATCCCTTGGGGAGGCTGAGTTTTCACACAGAAACCAAGGTCCAAAGTAGCAAACTTGGTAGAACCCAGAAAATACTCCCTAATGCAACAGAGTTAACAATTAAGCTAAACAAAGTATTGTACGTGTGGAAGATTTTCTGCATCCAGAACTAGGTCAAAGTTAGCTTTGGATTGTAAACCCTGACCCTTACCAATTAGGTTGCTTGTATTAGCTGTACTAATTTGATCTTATTTAATTAGAGTCTAGTCTATGTTTAAAGAAAAAAAAAACCGACCATGTAGTCTCATTTATTCTGACTTTTTAAGAAGCAGTATTTCCCCCTCCAAATGAAATCTTGCGCTATACCCTGACTTAAAAAACAAAATGTACTCAAAACCAGAATGACAGAAAGATGAGTGGTTGTCTACAAATTGGAGGCAGGAGGGTGTGCAGAGGATGAGGGAGACAGAGAAAGAAGGACTGGAGGGATTTCAAGGAGAAATGAAGTTTTGCGGGATGATGGATATTTTTATTATTTTGATGGTGGTAATGGTTTCATGGGTGTGTACATTTGTCAAAGCTTATCAAATTATTTATTTTAAATATGTGGTTTATCATATGTCAATTATACTCCAACAAAATTTGTTAAAAAAAAATCTGTTTATAAGAACAACAGAAAATTTGCTCAGGTTCTTGCTCTCTCACCCAACACGGTATTCCCCAGGTCCCTATACTTGGTACCTGGTACTCCATGAAAAATAATACTTTGAAAACTTCTGATTTTTAAGATTCCTTAAATACTAATGACATACTTTGCCTAGGTCATTAATCAGTAGATTTATGTGCTCCAGAGATAACATGGTTATTGTATTGCTCACTAATTACATTGATCTTCTCTTTCATTTTGTTTATAAACCTCTCTTGAAAAGTGCGACATTAGAGCAAAGTTAATGGATGGAAAGAAAGTATAACTCTTGGCAAGATAATGGGAAGGAGAACAAAAATAAACATGAGAAACAAAATAAATTTCCCATTTTTAAAATATACCCAAACCATGTCTAGAAGAGACACTGAACTCTGAATAGGTTAAAAGGGGATTAAAAAATTTTTTTAATGTTTATTTTTGAGAGAGAGAGAGAGAGGGAGAGAGAGCAAGGGAGGGGCAGAGAGAGAGGGAGACACAGAATGCAAAGCAGGCTCCAGGCGCTGAGCTGTCAGCACAGAGCCTGATGCGGGGCTTGAACCAATGAACTGCGAGATCATGACCTGAGCCAAAGTTGGATGCTTAACCAACTAAGCCACCCAGGAGCCCCTAAGAAGGGATTTTAAACATCCAACCTGTTACAAATTTTCAAGGCTATTTGCTTGTCACAAAAAATGTAGAGAAAGCATAAAACAAATGTTTACAAATTACTGGAATATAAAAAAAGTTATTCTTGATATTTAGGTATAGGCTTGAAACTTACATTAGATGTAATATAAATGAAAATACTAAGGAAACTTATTTATGCATACCTGCTTTGTTACCAGAAGTACCTTACATTAAGTGAAATAACATTTATTACTAAATGATTTTACTGTATTAATAAATGGGAAGATGTAAAAATAAGGAAAAAAAATTCTTCCTTAGTAGTAAAGTATATTTCAGTGTAACTCTGAAACCAATATTAATAATCCATATCATTAAATATCAAAAGCAAGCAATTTCATTACCAAATCAAAGCGCTGTCATGCAGTAAGAAATACTAATAAGCTGCACATATACTCACGACTCCCAACATCCTCTACAAAAGTCATGTCCACAGGGCATATCCACTGGGTCTTCAAATACAGAAATACTGCACATACAAATGTCACACTGGAGATGAAGAAAAGCAATGATTTAAATGAAGTTATACTTTGTAGAGAGAACAATATATTCATTCGTTTGTTAGTTTAATACAAAAATGCTACTGTAGTAATTACAAAGTTAAGTGTTTCATAGTTATAAGGGAAGTTACAGTTAGTATGCTTATTTTTGACTGAATACCAAATACCATGCCTACTTCATTATAAACTATTAAGGGATTTAAATATTTTAATGTACAAGTCAAACTCTTAAATTCCAAATTTCCCAAATGCAACTATCCATTTGGGAAGAAAAGTATAAGAAGCAAACCATTAGAGTCTATTCAGGTCCAAAAAAAAATAAAAAAAATCTACTCAGGTCAAGATCAAATTGTCCCCTGCAAAATAACCATTTCAATATCATGTTCTTTAGCCCATACTCATCCCAGAAAATCTACAAAAACAGAGTAACTTTGTGTTTTCAACATAAAAACTCAGGATATTTAGAGTAGCAATTTAAGGATTTCTACCCAGGGAACCCTGCTGCAAGGCTATGTATCTTCTAAACAATGACTTATCAGGAGCAAACATTCCAGTGTTACAGATGCAAACTATAGAAGTAGAATCCTGTTTTCTGAGAAAGCCAAGATAAAACCCAGAATACTTTCATTTTCATCACATATTTGAGTATAACAGCATAACAATGGTATGCCATTTAAAAATGCAGACAATGGCAGTATTGTTTCTCAATAAAAAAAAAAAAACATTTACTATGGAAATCTAGATGATACACTCAAGAAGCTTTACTGAAACAAATACATAATTATCAATATTTTATTGTAAGCGTTTTCATATTTTTTATTTAAAGTGCCTACATAAACTCAACTTTTAATATTTCAGCATGGTGTGTTTAAAACTTTAAACACCTGGAGATTTTAAGTAAAAATACAGTAGATGGCTTTCTCAAACTCTTTTCTGTTTTCTGTTTTGAAATGAGAAAAGAAGAGCTTTTGTTTTTCAATCTGTAATTCAGAGATCACCAAAATATTCTATGATAATAAATACTTACCAAAGGGTGAAATAACTGAACCCTTTAAGAAGGGTACAGGATTCAATTATAGGAATTTAGCTAAAAGGTTCCATGAAACAACATTAAATAAGTTAAAAGTTAAAAGACTAAACACAAAATTAGGGGAAATACACTGAATACCGAACCATACCAAACTGGTGTCCAAATCCCCAGGAGATAAACTTATTTCATCTGGAGAGGTGACAGAAGAACGTGTAGTCCTTGGAGTTCTTGGAGAAGGGAGCGTATCCCAGGCATTATACCCGCTCGGTGGTGGAGTTGGCATTTGAACACCTGATCGTTGGCAGCAGTTCTCTGGGTTGGACATCCAAGCCTCAAGTAATTTCTCCCTGTCCCAGTCTTTAAGAAAAATGGAATAGATAGCTCTCAAAAAACAGAAAATATGGTGATGTTTTAAGAGTTTCATAATAACAAAAGAGGATAAATTAAAGTGATATAGGCTATCTCTTCTATATGAAAGTAGTAACTGCAAATGAGTATTCAGGTATGTTATATGCACTAATATTTTTAAACAAGAATTTAAACTTTTATAATCTACTGTGGTTTACAAATATGTCAATATCTACCAATATCATCAAAACTCCCAGTCATTTCTAATAATCAAAAGAAATGCCTCATCACTTTTGGGTTACTAAATTTTTTTTTGGCATAGGTTTCATTTAGCCATTTTACTCTTTTCAAGAAAAATATGTAAATTTTCCAACTGGTTTCACCAGTGTCAAGTGGTAAAATGATTGGACAGCTTACTATAAACATGTCAAAATGTCAACAATAAGTCCAAAAATCATTTGATATACAGCTTGAAAGCAGAAGAAACTTCTGAAGGGATTATGGTTATAAAGTTTTAGTGAATTAGGTATAAATTCTGTATTGAGTTCACATCTGACTGAACTAAAGATGATCTTCCTACTATGAACACTTTTTTTTTTTTAATGTCTATTTAGTTTTGAGAGAGATAGAGACAGAGCGTGAGTGAGGGAGGGGCAGAGAGAGAGGGAGACACAGAACCCAAAGCAGGCTCCAGGCTCTGAGTTGTCAACACAGAGCTTGACGTGGGACTCGAACTCACGAACAGTGAGATCATGACCTGAGCTGAAGTCGGACGCCCAACCGACTGAGCCACCCAGGCGCCTCCCCTACTATGAACACTTTTAAAATAGCCAAGTGAAGTGTGTTATAAAGTCCAGAGCCATGAAAACTAACCCATTGAAAATAATAAATAAGTACATCCAATTTTGTTAGCTGTTTTATAGACATTACTTAATTTATTCCTCCCAACAAACCTTTCAATCATTATTTAGGTGAAGAAACCAGGACTCAGGAAAGTTATATAACTTGCCCTGGCTCACACAGATAGTGAGGAATTTGAAATCAATTTCTGTAATTCCAAAACCTGTATTCTTTCCACTGTAGCACAGTGAAGTACAGGGTCAAGAGTCATCCTAGAGTCAATTATTCAACGTAGGCCCATTCTATACAATTTTACAGCTCTAACACAAAGAACTATAGGAATTTCCTATGCAAGACTTTTTCTGACCATATTAAATCAGTGTATTTGGTGGTTTAACAGCATAATTATTATAACTTAGAGGTGCAATACAGATAGACTGGGTGTGTTTCTGGCTGTGTAAACCATTTGTGAAAAGGCACAGAAGTATAATGAAGAGACATGAGCAATTCTGTAAAGTTATAGCATATCATACTGTGGTTTGAAAAGATGGAAAACAAGATTGGAAAAGGAATCAGATTACAAAGAGGAAGAAAAATCTAACAACTGAAAAAAAACTGTATGAGTGCATTCTAGGAAATGTTGCTACATGGACATCAGTGTTTTGATAGGTCATTACTTACTTAAAAAGTTAAAATTACTTTTCTTCGAACAGTAGGATTATTTTCCAAAGTATCCATTATGTCACTTTTTAATAAAGGAAAAAGAGAGAACTACTATAATTTTTATAAACAGATATTAAGTATGCTAAATTTTAGTTTTATCTACTAGAAATATTTTTCAGCACAAATTCTGCTTGGATTCTATAACATTCACTTAGCAAATATTTACTAAATGTCTTTTATATGCACTGTCAGGCAGTAGGGATACAATGGGAGGAATAATCAGGCATGATTCCTGCCTTCATGAAACTTATAGTCTAGTAAGGAGAAAGACATGAAGTAAAAAATCAATACAATAACAAAAGAATCATCACTGTCAGAGTGCCATGGAGGAGAGGGAGAGAATCTGAGTCAGAGAAGGTGACGCTGGAGAAACAGTTTGGAGTGGACAAATGAAGGATGAGTGGGAGTTAACTAATAAAAGAGAGGGGGGGGGAGACATTCTAGACAGGCTGTACACAGCATGTTCAAAGACCCTGTGGTAGGAGGGAAGATGGCATTCTTGTGAAATTAAAAAGGTCAGTGTAGGGGTGTCTGGGTGGCTTAGTCAGTTAAGCATCCAACTCTTCATTTTGGGTCAGGTCATGATCTCACAGTTCATGAGTCTGAGCCCCGCATCAAGGCTCTGTACTGACAGTGCGGGGCCTGCTTGGGATTCTCTCTTTCTCCCTCTCTCTCTGCCCCCTCCCCGCCCCTCTTGTCTGCCTCTCTCTAAAAATAAAGAAATAAACTTAAAAAAAAAAAAAAAGAGTCTCTTAAAAGAAAAAAAGGTCAATGTAGCTGTAGCATGGAGATCAGAGGGGAGGCATCTTATGAGATAAGGCTGAAAAAATAGGCTGGGCCTAGATCATGCAAGACTTTTTAATACACTTCTATCATCAGCTTAGGAGTGATACAAAGTCACTGAAAAGTAGAGCTTGGGGTTAAGAAGGACAGGTTATCACAATCAGATTTGAAAAGATCATTGTGACTACAACAAAGAAAGAAACTGGATAGGGCAGAAGTAGAGGGAAGATAGGCCAAATAGGATGGTAATGGGTAGTATAAGTGAGAGATGAAGCTAGGGCCAGGTGGCTGCAGTGGAGATAAAGAGAAAGAGAGAAGTTTAAGACATGGAAGGTGAAAGTGACAATTTGGTGATGACAGCACATAGGGTCTGAAGGACAAGATATGCCAAAGTTGGTGTCCCAGGTTTATCCAGTTGGCCGGTTGATACCATCTATATAAATAGGGACTACCAGAGAATGATCTTAGTTTTAGACATACTGAGGTTTAAGGAGCTTCTGAGATATCCTAGAGATGCTTTAAAATAGGCAATTATGTATAAACATGTGGAGCTAAGAAGTCTAGTCCAAAGGGAAAAATCTACACCTATATAAACCTTGAGAGAAGATATAATTTCCTAGGAAGAGAGCAGACTGAGAAGATATAGGCCACTGACATTTAATTGCCTATAGAACATGACGAATATCCAAAGGAGCTTAAAAAAATACTTCAATGTAAATGAACTCTAAGCACAAAATTAGCCTTGGTCTCATATTTTGTAAATTTTACTTATTTTCTTATTAGGTAGCATTCAATTATGTATTACTTGTATTAATGAGGCAATACTTAGACAATGACCTCTGTATTCCTAACAGAGTCCTCCTTAAAATTCAATTACTGCTCAGCAAATACTGCTCAACATTTCGGTCTTCTGGTTAATCTAGATCAACTTCACTACCTTGGGACTAAATTTGACAACAGATAATATAGTGCTCAAATCTATTTTCCTGTGTAAAGCTGAGTGAATGTGACCAAGGATATAATCTATAAATCTTCCAAATAGTTCAGTTTAATAGTTCTGAAACAAAGCCTATTCAGGTTTTGAGAGCAATTAGTATAAATTGTGGTTCTGTGCACTATTTTATTCTCTAACATCATTTATATCTGTAAATATTATTTGATTGTCAAATGTCATTATCACCAATACTACCCAAACAATTAGAAGAGATGTCCATTTGAAAACCCGCTAGCCTCTATTTTATTCCTTAATAGGGAAGTAAAATATAGAATATGTAAGTAAGTTATCAAGAAAGTTATCACAGAATAGATAAATGCCAAATAGGAAAATTCAATTAGATATCACCTTATTAGAACTGACCCCTATTATGTAAAAGAAGTAACAGGAAAATATCAATGGAATAAAAATGGAGTTGATTATTTAATAATACTTGATATACGGTAAACAGATACAGATGAAAATGTTCTTTTAAAAAATTATTGGTAAAGTTAGCCTTGGATTCTCTCTATATTGTGACTTGGAGCTATGATACATTGTATTATCTAGGTGATTGTAGATTCCTAAGGCAAAAATGGCTATAAATACACAAAAAATACTGCAGTGCAGAACTGTTGTTTGCAGTTAAGTGTGGCCAAGTGACCAAATTCTAGCCAATGCAATATGCGCAGGAATAATGTATATATAAATAACGTTTCAGGTATAGTACTTATTATGTATTATTCTTTCTGTAAACATTTTCTGAGGGCTTAATGTATGTCAGATATTTTGGAAACAAAAAATAATAAAAGCTATCCTCTAAGAGATCTCAGGTTAAGCAAAAAAGAGATTATCATAATATTGTATTTCCCAGGTTAAGCTCCAGGAAAAGCAAAAAAAGAGATTATCATAACATTGTATTCTAAGTGTATGACAGAAGATGTAGTAGGAATAGACAGGAAGGGTCTCCGTGCAGACTTGAGAACACATAAGCAGAAAAGGCTTCCTGAAAGACATGGTTAATTAAGAAGGCATAAGTAAAGGAATGGGGTGACTGACAGTTCAGGTAAAGAAATTTGGGTCATAAAGGTCTACTAAAGAGTCTGGATGGTTTTAAGTCTGTGGAACGCTAGTGAAGGATTTTTCAGCAAGGCAGTGACATGCTCAGATGTGAATTTTAAAAGAACAGTCTAATGGCAATATGAAAAATTAATAGGGTGAAAGAAGAATGGCAACATGGGAGACCAGGACTCAGGAGAATACAATTTAGATGGAAACTAATGACAGCCTGAATTTAAGTCAGTGACAGTGGGAATGGAAAGAGCTAGAGAGGGTGGGGGTGGGTATGCTGGGAGGATGAGAGACACTTAAAAAGAGAAATGGTAAGATTGTGGCCAAGTTTAACAGAGATGGAGGAGTAAAGTTAGACTTCCAAGTTTCTGGCAGGATAATTTAATGAATGTTGATACTCATGTATCAAGACAATGGGAGAAAAGAGGAGTTCAGGTGTGAACATCCTTAGATTGGGGAGAAAATTGCTAAACAGACATTTAGAAATGCAAACCTTGGGGCACCTGGGTGGTTCAGTTGGTTTAGTGTCCGACTCTTTTGACTCTTGATTTCTGCTCAGGTCATGATCTCACAATTCATGAGATCAAGCCCTGAGACAGGCTCTGTGCTGGAGTCTGCTTGGAATTCTCTCTCTCTGCCCCTCCCCCCACTCTCATGTGCACATGCATGTACTCTCTCTCAAAATAAACAAACTTAACAAAATGAAGTATTTGAGGTTGTATTTCTTTTTTTTTTTAATGTTTATTTATTTTGAGAGAGAGAGAGAGAGAGAGAGAGAGGGGTGTGAGCAGGAGAGGGGCAGAGAGAGAGAATCTCAAGCAGGCTTTGTGCTGTCAGTACTGAGCCTGACGCAGGGCTTGTTCTCAGGTACAGTGAGATCATGACCAGAGCTGAAATCAAGAGTCAGATGCTTACCGAATGAGCCATCCAGGTGCCTCTCAAATACTCTATTAAAGTCAGGTTGTAGATACACTCTTTATTCTTTGGGTGGTTTTTGAAATCTTGGGTTTCATTAGATAAATGTGTGCAGCAATGTTTCTCAGAGAGTGGCCCACTTGTAGGCATCTCTACAACACTTACTTTAAGCCTCATCCCTCACCTAATGACTTGGACTCTGTGGAAAGTCCAGGAATCTCTGGTTAGTTCCCAGGTAATAATCCTTATTTATACAAAAATTTAAGAATCACTGGCATATAAAGTGGAAAAGAGTCTCAAGTACAGAACCGTGGGAAATTTCAATACTGAAGGCAAGGATTCTAGAGAGTTATATTCCAAATTATTCACAGTGATGATAAAGGGATGATGAAATATGGAATTTTAAATTTTCTTCTGATCAAAAGATCATATATTTTTGAAGTTGACATTCTATTTTAGTATAGATGATACAGATTTATAGTTAAAATAGGTAAGCCAAGTAATGACTAGAATAGTTATTTACCTCTCTCTTTTTAAAACTAATTTTTATTTTATTTTTTTATTATCATCTTATTTTATTTTAGAGAGGGAGAGTGTGAGCAGAGAGAGGGGCAAAGGGAGACAGAGAGAGAGAGAGAAAGAGAGAGAGAGAGAGAGAACATCTATTTTTTTTTATGTTTATTTATTTTTGAGAGAGACAGAGACAGAATACAAGTGGGTTAGGGGCAGAGAGAAAGGGAGACACAGAATCCAAAGCAGGCTCCAGGCTCCAATCTGTCAGCACAGAGCCTGATGCGGGGCTTGAACTCACAAGCTGTGAGATCATGACCTGAGCCGAAGTCGGACGCTCAACTGACTGAGCCACCCAGGTGCCCTGAGAGAGAAAGTCTTAATTAGGCTCCATGCTCAGTGCAGAGCCCAGTTCAGGGCTTGATCCCACATCTCTGGAATCATGACCTGAGCTGAAATCAAGAGCTGGATGCCCAACCAACTGAACCACCCAGGTGCTCTAAAAATAATTCTTAAATCGGAAAAAACTTAACTTTGAAACTAGACAAAATATCAAATATGAACTGTGCAATGAGAGGGTCCAGCTCACCATGTGACAACTCCCAAAATGGCTGCCTTAAGTATATCACAGAAAATTTAAAATAAGCTGAGTACTTTTCCTAAGTTGGTAATGTTCTTAAAAACAAAACAAAACAAAACAAAACAAAACAAAACAAACCTTAAAAGGGATAGTATATTTCTGCATTGACTCTACAATTTCACTTTGTGTATTTCATGGCAAGAAACACCCTTTATATAAAATAAATATAACTGACAGTACTAATAACACAATTGTTAAATATTTCATTGACTTTAGTAAAAATTAATGTCAAAACTAGTACTAGGACTACAGATTCCAACTTTCAATCCTGCTTAAATCAGACACATTTTAAAATTAGACAATCTTTAAGCTGATTTAGTAGCCATGATTTTTATTTTTTTTTAATTAAGAAAAAATGTGTTTTTTTTTTTAATTTTTGAGAGAGAGAGAGAGACAGAACAGAACACAAGCAGGGGAGTGGCAGAGAGCGAGAGGGAGACATAGAATCCAAAGCAGGCTCCAGGTTCTGAGCTGTCAGCGCAGAGCCTAACGTGGAGGTCGAACTTATGTACTGTGAGATCATGACCTGAGCCGAAGTCAGATGCTTAACCGGCTGAGCCATCCAGGTGCCCCTAAAAGCATGATTTTTAAAAACAAATTTCCCATTTCCCCTCTAGGATTTACAGGCAGTTTATACTTCAAAATATAGAATGTTTTGAAGATGGTGGATACTGCAGTAACCACTGCACAAAAAACAACTTAGGCTTGTTTAACAAACTATTTTGTTTTATACTGAAATAGTAAAATGGCTATATTTTAACTCTGAAAAGTTTCAAAAGGCACTCATGTTCTCAGAAGCATAAGACATTTTTCATTACCATGAGCTCGAAGTAAAGCTTCAGCAGTAAACAGTGGAGCCTGAAGCATGTCTGCAGTTTCCACAATAAGCATATCTTTCAATCTACGAAGATCTTGAGGCCTTAATCCTTCATATGGCTTTGAAAAGAAGAAAATCAAGTTAAATTGGCTGTTATACTCTTAGGAAATTCGAAATGCCTAGAAACAAAATTATATGATTATCATTTATTCAGTCTTCCTATTTCAGTTTGATAACTGAAGTTAAAACGGTTCTATATGTTCTACAACTATGGACTTCAAACTACTCTTTCACAGGTCTTATTATAAAAGCTAGAAAGTGGAATGAATGCCAAGGTTCATGCACCTTATCTAAAATAAAGGTATCATACTATAATGACAAGACAAACTTACTTTATACCTTTGAAAGTTTGGATAATACAAAAATTAGAAATGAAAACCTTATAATACCACCACTGAGCAATAATCATTATTAAAGTTCTAAGTGTTTTTATCCAGTCTTTGCTTTTAGCAAATCAATTATGTGTAAATATATGTGTTCAATGAGTTTACCCACTGAACCACAAAACATTTACACTTATTAAGATCCAACTTGGATTATTAGTGGTTTACATGATACTTATTAATTAATTTGGGGAGAAGTGACTATGCCATACTATTCAGAGCTCTTAGTCACAAACGTATTACCTCTGTTTATTCAAGTGTTCGTTAATGCTCCTTAGTTTTCATTATATAGGTACTATATCATATCGGGTTTTTAATTTTTTTGTTATCCTTTATCTTTTCTTTTAACAGAAAACAAAATAAAAATCACAAGTGTTTCACTATTCAGAAACAATTACTGTTTTTGCTATACTTGTTTCAAGTCCTTTAAAAAAATTTTTTAATGTTTATTTTTTTTGGTGAGAGAGCATGCCCAGGGGAGGAGCAGAGAGGGGAGACACAGAAACCGAAGCAGGCTCCAGGCTCCAAGCCGTCAGCACAGAGCCCTATGCAGGGCTTGAACCCACGAACTGTGAGGTGATGACCTGAGTCAAAGCCTGACACTTAACTGAGCGTCCCTCAAGTCCTTTTTAAAACACAATGAAACAAAAGAAGCAAAACTTTATATAGTAGTCTCCCCTGCAAAGCCTCATTGGTGGGGGAATGTGTGTTCCAAGACCCCCCACCATTGATCTGTGAAAACATGGATAGTACTGAACCCTACGTATACTGTTTTTTTTCCTATATATACATACCTATGATAAAGTTTAATTTATAAATTAGACATAATAAGAGATTAACATCAATAAAAAAGAACAATTGTAATACACTGTAATAGTGGTACGAATGTGGCTTCTCTCTCAAAATATGTTAATGGACTGCTCACACTTCTTGTGATGGTGTGAGATAGTTAAATGCCTGCGTGATGAGATCAAGCGAGGTAAATAACATAAGCATTATGATACAGTGTTAGGCTACTACTGACCTTCTGAGGATATGTCAGAAGGAAGATCATTTGCTCTGGATTGTAGTTGACTGCAGGTAAATGAAACCTCAGAGACAAGGGGTGAGGGATTATATAAAAGTAAAATAATCTGTGACATGTTTTCCCCATTACATTTCCCTAACTCTCCCCATCCTTGCCTATGGAAATCACTATCATGAATTTGACATATGGTTGTCATAACATTATGGCATAACATTATATCACTAGGCAATTTCCTTTTATTTTCACTCAATATTGTTATTATTAATATTGATACACATGTATTCAAATCTTTTTTTATTATAAATTTTTTTTTAATGTTTATTTATTTTTGAGAGAGAGAGACAGAGCACAAGCAGGGGAGGGGCAGAGAGAGAGAGGGAGACACAGAAACCAAAGCAGGCTCCAGGCTCTGAGCTGTCAGCAAAGAGCCTGATGTGGGGCTCAAACTCACAAACCCTGAGCCGAAGTTGGACACTTAACTGACTGAGCCACCCAGGTGCCCCCCCTGTATTTCAATTCTTTAAACAGTTGTAACCAGATTACTACAGTAAACATAGACTAAAGGCCATAGCTTAAAAAGCAGTAGAAATTCCAAAGAACTGAGAATGTATTTTGGCAGCATGTATCACAGTCTCTAGAGAATTCTGGGTAATTAGCAAACCTCATCCATTTTAGCTGATTTACAGATATTTTAGAATAATATATTATCTTTATTTCTTGCTTCATTTTTTTGTATCATGGAAATCATTTTACCAAGTCTTACTTAACCTCCTATGACTGCGATTCAATAGGGATAATTTTTCTCAGTTGACATGATAAACTTTCCTGATCCTTACAATCCCAACTATCATGTACAGTTTGCTTTTAAACTAATTTATGAACCACATTTTCCCCTGCAAAAACTTAAGAAATCCTTTTATGGTTAAATTTATAGTATTCACTCCAGTATAGAAGTTACACACTATGTAGAACATTACTTCTAAAAAATATATTCCAAGTTTATACTTGGGATTCCAGGTACCTTTCCTGCCTCAGCAATGAGAATGGATATTTCTCTCTCTCTCTCTCTCTCTTTTGTTTTTTTAGAAAAAGAGAAAATGTGTGCATGATCAGAGGAGGGACAGAGAGAGAGAGAGAGAGAGAGAGAGAGAGAGAGAGAGAGAGAAATCCCAAGCAGGTTCCACGCTCAGTGTGGAGCCCGATGTGGGGCTCAATCCCATGACCCTGGGATCATGACCTAAGCATGCATGACCTGAGCAGAAACCATTGGATGCTCAACTGATTGAGCCACCCAGGCACCCTGAGATTAGGTATCATTCTGCTTTCATTTATGTAATCCAAATAAATTTTGAGTACACATATATTAAAAAAGAGAGACTATAAGCAATCTGCATATATTAAGTTTAAAAAATGCATAGTTTTAAACTTAAAAATGTTACATTGGAAGAAAAATAGTTCTTGAAGGAGAAAGATATACTGTCTTCATGGGCATGTGACATATTCACTCTGAATCTCTGCAACAGAACTATAATTAGGTCATGTGAAGCATTTCAATACATTGCTCAGTCCCAAGCGGGCACTAGCCATCTCTTCTGCAAGAAGAATGAAAATGAAGGTGCCTTTCTCTTTCTTGTTGCAAAGATAAACTGCTTCTATTTTCAGATTAAACACAATCTAGCAATAACCTTCAAAGCAGTCAGTACTGATACATAGAAAGAAAACGGAAACTAATTTAAAAAGGAAGACAGTGAATAAAAGTACCTCTTTTGCATCAATGCATACTTTGCTACCAAAATACCACTGAAGAAATGCGAAACAGCCTAACATACAAACTGTACCCCTTTGATATCAAGTATAAAGTGACAGTTATCTTCAAAAACTGTTTCATAAAAAAACTATGACAAAGGATTTATGAAAGAAGAAATTTGTTTTTATGTTTTTCCACAATGAAAACAGCTTCCCCCTGACTATATAGGTAAAACATGCTTGTTGTTAAAAATGAAAAAAAAAAAAAAGGGGGGGGGGTACTTATTTACTGAATTATATTGGTAATTGTTAAAATTTTAGAAGATGTGAAAGGCACTCAGGGAAAAAAGAGTATTTCCAATTTCTCTTAATATCAATCTCTCATTACCTGATCCATGAGCCTAGCCTGGAGGAGAAAGGGTAAAGAATAGCTAAAGAAAGTCTTTAGAATTCTAGGACCCTTCCCTTTGTTTTAATTTCCTTGCTCCTTACTCAGCTGTTCTCCCCTGGGATTAAGACAAGGTCTACCCTGATCTGTACTTTGACCTAAGAGGAAGGCAGCTGCTCTTGCACAGTAGGATAAACCAGCTAAGGCAATGTCCATCATATGGGTTCCCTGCCAGAAAAACAGCCTGAGCCTTCCTGGGTTATAAGACCTAGAGAGGAATTGGGAGAGGGGATTCTTCAGATGGCTTTCATAGCAACATATTGCTCAGTTTTCCCTTCATTTACTACATGTAGCCACACAATCTACTCCTACAGAGCCTGACCCCTACCAGGCCCAATACCCACTAGTTTCTTTGTTCTGCCTTTCCAGATTTATATAAATTAAATACAGTCTTCCCAGCCATCACTCCAACACAACACCTTGTTTTTATGCCCCTATAGCAATTAGCACTCTCATAAACTGTGTTCATTTACTTTTTAAGCTTATTTGTGTGCATCTCTATCGATGCTGGAATATAAGCACCTACAGGGCAGGGGTTTATCTTTGTTCCTCACTGTATCTCCAAGCTCCTAAAACAGTGTCTGGCAGAGTAGTCCCTCTGCCAGTTTGTTGAATGTCCCTCAACAGTTTTGTTGAATGATGGGATGAAGAAGTAGATTTTATTCATTTGTAAACTAATCTGAAGGAAAGAACTTAATTAAAATGTGTCAAGAAGAAATTATAGAGATATACTATTATACACTGTCCAGATCATTAATTGAATCAAGAAACTTAGCTAGAAAAAACACTTCACCTTGGGAACAGGAATCTTTTAAACTACCTAATTATATAGTTTAATACAATCACATAGTGGGTTGTATAAAACTATTAGCATAGGCAGAATAATCCAAACATTGGTCAGGGTCAAAGTAGAAAGTATAAAAATGAATTTTAAAGAAAGCAATTTTGTTTGGTTTTATTTTTATCTTTTTTTTTTAAAGTTTATTTATTTTGAGAGAGACAAAGAGAGAGAGCGTGTGCATGTAGGCACGAGGGAGGGGCAGAGAGAGAGAGGAAGAGAGAGAATCCCAAGCAGGCTCCTCGCTGTCAGCACGGAGCCTGATGTGGGGTTTGATCATGCAGGGCTCGATCTTACTAACTGTGAGAAGATGACCTGAGCTGAAACCAAGACTTGGACACTTAACCGACTGAACCACCAAAGCATCCTGGTTTTATTTTTAAAATTGTTATGAAACACACATTACTTAAAGTTAACAATTTTAAAATGTATATTTCAGTGGCCTTAATACATTCAATAATGTTGTACAACTACCACATACATCTAATTCCCAAAATTCTCATCACCCCAAAAGAAAATCTCATACCCATTAAAGTAGTCACTCCCTAGTCCTTCCTCCTCTTCGGCCCTGGCAAACACTAGTGTGCTTTCTGTCTCTATGGATTTACCTATTCTGTATATTTCATGTAAGTGGAGTTATTTAATACGTGACCTTTTGTGTCTGCCTCCTTTCACATAGCATGATGTTTCTGAGATTGATCCATATTGTAGAATGTATTAGTACTTCTTTCCTTTTTGTGACTAATATTCCATTGTATATGTATGTATACCTCACGTTTTATTTATCCATTCATCTGTTGATAGAGATTTGGTCTTCAACGTTTGGTTATTGTGAATAGTGCTGCTATAAACATTTGTGTGTAGGTATTGGTTTGTGAAAGTATTGTTTTTAAACATTATAAAATATCAGGCAAAATGATCCTAATAAGGATTAAAAACAAAACTAGAAAACTAGAAAAAAACTGGGGCATATGATTACAATATTAACATTAAAAAAATTCAGAAGCCACGGAGTAAGAAAAATTTACATCTCTGAATATCCTACGTGAAAACAGAAAAATATACAAACTTTTCTTGGAAAGCATTAAGAACACACAAACCGTCCAAAGAAAAAAACTCAAATGAACAATCAATTTACAGAATAGTCAAGTAAAAAAATTCAAACAGGTACCATTTGTCTAAACTAGCAAAAATAAAAACACTGATAATATGTAATGCTAGCAGAAATATGTGGAAAAGAATTCTCTAACATGCTACTAGAAGAAAATAAACTGATATAATCTTTTAGGACAGCCTAACAACATCTATTAAACTATAAAATATGTACATCTCATGATCCATCAAACCAATTTCTACAAATTTATAGGGAATATACTTTTAAAATATGTATATAAATGCAGTAACAATTATATATGATGACCATGATTATAACAGCATACATTTAGATAAAACATATAATGATTCAGGCACTGTTCTAAGTATTTACATATATTAACTCATTTAAGCATCACTACAATTCTATGAAGTAGGGACCATTATTATCTCCATTTTAAGGAAGAAGAAACTGAAGCAGAGGAATAACTACTTAAGGCCACATAGTATGTCACTCATGGGACTAAAATATGAATCCAGTCAGCATTGCTTCAGATCCATGTTTCAAACCACAATAATGACACAACTAGATAAAAATATATATGAAATAAATAGATAAATATTCACTTTAGCCTGTTTTTAATATCAATAATATCTAAATTATTTAAATATTCATCAATATTTAATAGGAAAGATGGTCACGATACATTGTTAAGTTGAAAAAATATTTTAGAGTTGTGGAGGATGTGGAGAAAAAGAAACTCTCATGCACTGTTTGTGGGAATGTAAATTGGTATAGCTACTGTGGAAAATAGCATGGATGTTCCTCAAAAAATTAAAAATAGAAATACCATATTACTGAGTAGTTCCACTACTAAAGAACTCAAAAACACTAATTTGAAAAGATATATGCACCCCTATGTTTATTACAGCATTATTTACAATAGCCAAGATATGGAAGCAATCTAAGCATCCACTGATAGATGAATGGGTAAAGATGTGGTGTATACACATATACCTGATGGAATATCACTAAGCTGTACAAAAAGGATGAGATCTTGACATGTGCCAACAACTGGATGGACATACAGGGTATTATGGCTAAGTGAAATAAGTCAGATAGAGACAAACAAATATATGATTTTACTTAAACATGGAACCTAAAAAAAAAACGAATGAAAAAAAAAAAACAGAAACAGACACATACGTACAGAGAACTAATGGTTGCTAGAGGGAGGGATGGTGAAGGGGTGGGCAAAATGGGTAAAGGGGAGTGTGAGAAACGGGCTTCCAATTATGGAATAAATAAGTCATGGGAATAAAAGGTACACATTAATTTATTAGGGAATAAAATTAATGGTATTGTAATAGCATTGTATGGTGATATATGGTAGCTATATATTTGTGGTGACCACTGCATACCATACAAACTTGTTGAATTTTGTACAATTGAAATGAATGTAACACTATGTGTCAACTATACTTAAATTAAAAAAAAATTTTTACAGAAAAAAAATATTGCAGCAGAACTCAATGACCTTCCTTTTGCAATAAAAATTCTATGTTATATGTTTGTTTATATCATATGTATGTTTCTTAAACAAGACATACAAGAAATTGTTACCACTGTGGGGTAGAGTCAGGAAGGAGGAAATTTTTTACATTTTTTTAGCAATAAATACTCATTATAAATTTTAAGAAATGCATGAAAATAGAAAAATAATAATAGTAAAAAAACTTATCCATACCATAATTAGCATTTTGGCATACTTCAATCTCAATATATACTAGTCTTTTCTATATAATGAGTATCAAACTGTTATGTAACTTTTTGTTAACTTAATAGTTTATTATAGTTACATTAAATTCATTTAGATCTTAAGTCTATTGATAATGAATACTATTATTTTTCTGATTTAATTATAAGTTAAGATAGTATCTTTGATAAAAAGCCTAAATATAGTCATTAAATGTTTTTCAGTTTAATCATATTATTTTTAGAATATTACTGTTTAAATATTTTCTTCTGACTAAATTACATTAATTATTACAGTAATATATGTATATATGTATGTATGACTCAAGACGATAGATTATGAAAAGTCAGACAGTATAGCAAATAGAGATGCTTTAGCTTGAAGTCCGAAGAATCAGTTTAGCTCACTTTGATCCTGGTAGGTTATTCAACTATTTTCTGGTTTATCTTCCTCATTTAAAAAAAGAAGGGGGCATAACAGTTACTTAAGCTTACTGTGTGAATTTAACAACCATGTGAAAGTGTTTAGGACATTGGCCTCTCTTTCTATGTGTGACTTAACCTGAAAAAGCATTCCGATAAAATAACCTAATTTAAGAAACACAAAGGGTAAAAAAATATAAATTTCTTAATTCCAAGAAACTCAGTTCCTTTGGTAATCTGGAATACTGAAGCTCAAAATACTTAAGAAATACCATCTATGGATGTTCACTGTGTAAGCAGTGTGTCAGACACTGAAAATACTCTGTTGAAAAAGGCAGTTATGATTCTGGCCCTCATGGAGTTGACCATCTAATAGGAAAGAAGGGCAAAAAAAAGAATAAATACATAAGCAAAATCATTACAGCATGTGATGAGTGTTATAAAAAGTAGGGTGTTATGGTAAAGAATAATGGAAGGAGAGGGACCTATTTGGGAAAGAATAGTCCAAGATTGCCTCTCTGAAGAACTACTGAGCCAGCCAAAAGAAAAACTGGGAGAAGATTTCTGATATAGAAAAGAGCAAATGCAAAAACCTTACTGTAGTCTAGCTATTATAATTAGAGCAAAATATGCTGGGAAGAAAGGTTTGAGATGATGTTGGGAGAGGTAGTAGTGAGACCATATAAGGTTTTATATCTGAGAGAATAGTTTGGATTTTATTCCAAGTACAATGAAAAGTCACTAAGTAATTTAAGAGATTTATATGATCTAATTTAAGTTTTAAAATGTCTTTCCAGCTTATGTGTACAAAATGGATTCTAGGGGGACCAAAACAGAAGGAAGGAGGTCAGTTAGGAAACTGTTACAGTACCTCAGATGAGAGGTTAGGGTGGAGAGGGCCTGGGGAGGTAGGAGTAGAGACTAGGAGGAGTAAATGGATCTAGGTTATACTCTTGGAGGTAAAATTGACAACATTCTCAGATTGTTTGGATATAAGGACAAATGAGGAACTGAAACGCTTGCCCATTTATGCTTAAGCAATTCAGTGGAGGGAGGTAATGTTTATTGACACAAGGAAGACTTAAAGGAAAACCAAAGAACAATGTCCCTGAAGCTAAGGGAAGAATGCTTCACTAAGAAGGGAGTGGTCAATTGTGTCAAGTGCTGCAGAGGAATTCAAGTAAGAGTGGGAGAGAACAGTACCCACTGGATTTGGCAAAATGGCAACTCTTGATATTCATGACAAATGCACTTCCAACAAAATAGAAAGGAGGAAAGTCACGCTGTAAGAGGCTCAGAGATATGGGGCTACAACTGAAGGGGGAAAGGGAGAAAAGTGGTCAATGGAGTGACTGTTTTGCTGTTTTTGTTTTGTTTTAAGATAAAAGTTAGCAAAGCATGTTTGTTGATAAGAGCAACCTAGAAGACAGGAAGGACTGAGGAACAGGAGGACTGCAGTTTTAGAACAGTAGAAATGGTTAGGAGTTCATATTACACATTAGCATCTCTACTTAAATATAAGTAAACATATACATATTTTAGAGCACAGTTACCACCTCCAGATTTTCTAGATGTATTTTTATACTTACGGCTATATAACATTTTTTTTTAATGTTTATTTATTTTTGGCAGGGAGAGAGAGAGACAGAGCATGAGCGGGGGAGGGGCAAAGAGAGAGGGAGATACAGAATGCAAAGCAGGCTCCAGGCTCTGAGCTGTCAGCACAGAGCCCAACACGGGGCTCGAACCTACAGACCGCGAGATTATGAACTGAGCTGAAGTCGGACACTCAACCGACTGAGCCACCCAGGCGCCCCTACTTATGGCTATACAGATGAAATGGTGTTAAGCATATTGCAGAGAAGACCACACAAACTGGATTTTAAAGTAGAAAAATAAAATTTAATATAAAATCCGTATCATTTATTTAAAAAAAAAAACACCTTACCTCTCGTTTGTCTAACGCAGCATATTCAGCTTCTATTTCTTCAGCTTCAGGATCTCGTGAGAATACCATTTGTGATTCCAGATTGAGGGCCAAATCTTTGTGGTGCTGCTTTTCAGCACAATCACAAGGAGTATCTTTATTCTCATTCTCAGCAAACAAGTCTCCTCCGTGTTTTACTAAAAGCTAAAAAAGATTTTTTCAAAAACTTGCAACCACAGATTTAAACAGGTTACTTCATGCTACGTATTTGAAAAAATTAACAATATAATGAAGTGCAACAAAAATACAACAGTATGTACTTGAAATAACAATAAAAATTTAGATACCAGTGACTTTTTAAAAAAACATTTTTAATGTTTAGTTATTTTTGATAGAGAAACAGAGTGCGAGCAGGGGAGGGGCAGAGAGAGAGAGAGAGGGAGAGAGCTGCAGAATCAGAAGCAGGCTCCAGGCTCCAAGCTGTGAGCACAGAGCCCGATGTGGGGCTCAAACTCACAGACCATGAGCTCATTACCTGAGCTGAAGTTGGACATTCAACCCACTGAACCACCCAGGTGTCCCAATACCAGTGACTTCGATTTTAAGATGGTAATTCTTGTTTATTAGCATTTAAAAAAAATGTTTATTTTTGTGTGTGTGAGAGAAAGAGAGAAAGAGAGGAGACAGAGACTGGGTGGGGAAGGGGCAGAGAGAGAGAGAGAGAGAGAAAGAGAGA